TTCATTAATCGACGAAAACGCGAGGGAAAACGCAGAGAGGTGCGTGCGCAAAAATATCCCCGAAAAAGTGTACGCCACTGTTGCATAAAGGGGCGTGTCGCGTAAGCGCCGCCCCTTGCCCAGATTTTATTGTACAGACAGTAATATAGTCTGAAATTTTCAGACAAATCGGAAAATTGTGAAGTACTTTTGTAGTGATTCAAAGTTGACTATTTTTTGTCGAAAAACCAATTTCCAATCAGAAAACCATGTTTGACTACTTTTCACTAAAAAATGATTAACATATTTTTTTTGGCAGGTACTGTAGATTAGCTTTTCTAAACTTTTGAAATTCCCGCTCACCTTCATCTCCAACTGCAAACTTTGCTCATGCGTTCTGTATCTATTATAATAGAACAGATAACGCTCAAGACTTTGGCGTGAATTCGTCCGTTGCTGTTCATTTTTGTCGACGTAGCTGAAAAAAATTCTATAATTTTCATTTAAAAAGTTTTTGGTTTTAAAATAGACAACATTCGCTACAATTCTATCTAGAAATCACATTTCTAGCGCTTCCAGGAACCGAAATAGAGTAGCTTTAAATTCGGGAGACTAGAGACGCAGACGACGGAACACGCTGCGTCTCTAATCTCCGGAAACTCGAAATGACTGTATCTCGATTTCTAGAAAGTTGATTTTTGGACATAATTGCGTATTTTGAAATGGATTTCAAATCAATAATCTGAAAATCCGTTTCAAACCCTACAATAGTGTCCAAAAACCAAGCTAGAACAGCTAATCTAAAAATCGAGATACGGTCATTTGAAGTTGCCGAGGTTAGAGACGCAGTGTGTCTCGTCGCCTGCGTCTCTAGCTTTCTGAATTTGAAGCGGCTCTATCTCGGTTGCTAGAAACGCTAGAAAACCGAATTTTATACAGAATTTCGTCTATTTTATAGATTCAAAAGATTTTTTCACAAAATGACCAAAATCCAATGGAAAAATTAGAAAATCACATTTCTAGCGCTT